GCTAGCTTTGAACCTGTTGAAGTGTGGATGAGAGCCAATAAATGAAGAATGAAAAGAGCTAATGGAACACCTCGGCTTCTTACTTCAAGCAAATGGGTGTGCTCGAAGTGCTTATCTTGAAAATTTGACCCGCAAGACACGAGTCTTAGGGTTTACTTAGAGGCCCTACCAGAAGCCAGTGACTTGATAGTTTGATCGATTTGTTTGTACTGGACCGGCCCAGTTCGTTGGCGCAATGAACAGACTTCTCACTCATGATCCTACCATGCGAAACATATGTATTTTGAGCCAAAACGGACTCCTGGTAAGCATTAATTGTACTTCATTTCCGCTGGGTAGTCTACTAGCGAACAACAACATATTCCGTGTGATCGGAGTTTTCTGTTTTTAAGATCTATATTTTCTAACCTACCCTAAGTCGATAAGGGTAGTATCGTTTCTTACGTAAATATGCGAAATTTGACCACGCAATGGCAAGACTTTAGTGCCTCCATATTCCTCTTGCAGCGGACAGCAAAACTTTGACTGCAGACCTTCTCATATTAGCTTTCCTTATATGGTTAAACTTTTGGAACGGCGTTCCAGGCAGTGTACTCAGACAAGACCACAACAAAAGGGGGTAGCTCCAGGTTGCTGCTCTTAATAACCAAGCTTCACGTCGATTGGACGGATGCGTCACGTGCGAGCTACGGATTAAACGAAGGCATGCTTCCATTGTTCACTGTGTCAGGGAATCTGCATCGAGCATATAAAGCTCGATGCTTATCGACGTTGATGAATATTCTACCGTGACATTGTGGCACATTCCGAGATGACTCTATAAATACAGTTATAATAATATTTCTTCACCTTCATGAAGGACTACCAAAAGTTATCGTGCCTTCTGATATAGCATAGTGAGAAAATCAGGGAGTCAAGGACTGAGGTTGCCTCACCGTCAGCAAGATACAACAGTTTGGGTTCATTCTTCAGTAGTCCCCCAAATGTATTGGTTTAACTTGAACAGGTGTATTCACGGCATTTAGATGAAGTCGTTCGTCTATGAGAACCGAAATCTATTCAGTGATTTGCGAATTCTCTCTTTTTCTGGTTTTGAAATTCAACCGATTGCCGGCAGAAAGTTTTTGAGACGTCGAGTCAAAAACCTAGTCTTGTTCCTTCTCTGCAACAAATGTTTTCACTATATATATTCTTCAGCGGACGCACAAGTCAACTTCGCAAGACGTGAGCTGTTTGCTGTCCGTCGAAAAGTTTCATGTTCTAAAATCAACTTTTCGGAATAATCCAATAAAACTGTTATCAAAAAATATATGACAGTTTTATTCAGATAGAGAACGAGTATTTCTGAGGCGGTAACTGCTGGTATACGAGTGCGTAAGCAACCTAATAGACTCACGGTAGGTATTAGTTCGTATGTCATCTAAAGGTGATAATAACTCAGCTCACATGGAATATATATGTATAAAACAAAGTGTGGCTCAATTAGCACTTGTAACAGGGTCTGCTTGTGTGTTTGCCCCACCGGAGAATGAGTCTGTCGAACCAAGAATTCCAACCTGATATGGATTTGTCCGCAAAACCCGATGCCCTGGTTTTGTGATTCGGCAGCTGAGTGAAATATAGGGCAATCCGAAACTGTCTGAGAGAATCAGCGGCCAAAGTTTCGAATGCATCTCAACGACCTTAAAATGATTCTTTTTGATCAGTCTCATTTTTAGACACAAAGAATTGCAACTTAGGGGAGATGTTGCCATTAATTATTGTAACCACTCTTGTGACAATTTATATGTTGTTCTAGTACTCCGCAATGATTTATTCCACGTTCTTCTAATGGTTTTTCTCAAGTTTGTTCGTATTGGATTTCAGTACTGTAATATCCTGGTTGTAGCAGTTTTAAGAAATGACACACTGATATACAGTTACACCCCATCTCTCAGATTATTGCTTTCCAATTTTTACCCTCACATCAGGTGTTCAAAATCACGCAAAACACCTGTCTCACGACCATCCACCACTCAGATTTCCTTTAATTTTCCTGAGGATTTGTAAATAAGTGGTTGGTGTAGCGACTTCACTGAAAATATGCCTGCGTAAACACCCGTACTCTGGCTGGTTAATGATTCAACACTCAACATCTGAAATGTTTTCCGCATGTGGTGGTAAATGAACTCACTCTGTTTGTGTTACTATTAGGGCAAGGTGTTCTTCTGGAGAATCTAGTTATGTATCCTTCAAAAACGTCATCCAGCAGGTAACCACGAAAGTGTAGTGGCTAGTAGTGGAAAGCATTTTCTTTATGTCCTATTTTGGTTGTGTGTTGCTTTCGGGTTAAAGTCTTACAGGCTTAGTCCTTACTAGATAGTATTCAAGGATTATGCCTATTTTGGAATAAGCACTATACCGCATCAAAATGTGACACCGCGTCACCTTGATTTATTTGAAAGACACAGAAGGGAGACACAATATCAAAGAGGGAACTAATTCATGCAGATCTAACATAGTCAGTTAGTAACGAACCACAATGTGTACAATCCAGGTACAAAATTAAGTAAAGTTTAGTCATTCACAGCAACTTGAAAAATGTACATTTCTTAGGAAAAGCCGGTCTCCTACAGCCAAGAGTCAAAATGACTGCAACAAATCGACTAAGTAGATAGTTTATAAAAGGAAAATGCTAAGTGGAAACTAATTAAGTGGTACCAAATTCATTTCACTGCGTGGGGGTCGTACATTCTATTACATGACGTTCGAGAACTGCACAAACTGAAACTTTAGCCGTGTTTTTTCGTGTTTTGCTATTTCATAGTTTAGATGATAACTATATCGTCTGTTCAGGTGCAGATGCCGTTCTTCACTCAGTGACGAATATATTTGAGACTTAGGAGAAAGATTAACCGCGTAATAAAATATTCTGAAATCCTAAACAATGGAGTAATTTAGGATGAGGGTGACGCTCCAGCGAAATACACTCAGTTGCAAACTAATTTGGTTTTACCTGGAACCCAACTAAATCCCTCATTTATGATGTTTTCAAGCAATTGAATATGCTGCACCAGGCGCCTACCTGATGAACCAGTGGCCACTAAAAGTTGTTTCAAAGTCTTCTATGTCTAGGTGGAGACCGGCTGACGTTCGGTTGTAAAATATACTACCTCTTTTTTGACGTGTGATTTCAATTTATTGTGTGGGCTTAGCTAATTTAGGAGGATGTTTTCTCGAAACTTATCCGTCTTTGCTTCCCAACGGATTGTAAGAAATGTGAAATCTACAATTACTGATTGCTTGATCAAAACTAACAACACTGATGTTATGTCTGGAAGACAATGCTTCAGTTCACTATTCCAGATAAGTCAGATGGCTTTTACGGCTTACGCGCCAGTTTTCTAAAATGACCCATCAAAACTAAAAACATTTATAGACGTATTACACTACTCATAATGGTGCCTAAAATTCCTCGACAAATCTTGACCCGTTTCGCCTTTCTTAAGGTCCATTAGGTAGACACAATCTCCAATTTTCCGGCAACCTTGTGTTCTACTTGAACCCAACTTGCACGAAATTAGGACAATACACTGATTTGCAAACAAGTTTGGTGTCTCGAAAAACCAAATTTGTTTGAAAATGCGTATATTTCGCTGAAATAGTTAGATTGAAATAAAATTCCATGCAGGGTGACTGAAATTATATACCACGCAACACATTGCTTTTGAGGCCGTTTAAGAGTATGAAAATTCGTTCCCATTTCATCCTAGTTAGAGCTCACCAGACGGGGGTGCTTTGAGTTTTCATCACCCATGTGTTCTGGATAAGAATCAAATTGTGCCTGAATAACGAAGAGCACTCAGTTTCAAACCGTTTCGGTGTTTTACGGAAACTACGCAGCACCTCTCGTTTTTGATACCCATTCAGTGAATGTACTGCATGAAGGCCGCCTCATGTTTCATTTAATACGATGTACAAAATATCAAAACATATTTTCTTAACAGTGCATTTTGTCAGTTGCAAACAACTTTGTGTTAAGTAGGAGAAACGTTTGATGAAACGAAGGAGAACACGCCTACCTGACAAGCCTCAAAATGAATAAACACAGTAATGGTTCATTAAAGGATGTTCGGCAAACTTGAGTAGTGTTCAGCCAAGAAATTTCACCACACTGTCTCGGGTACCGCACCTACTGAAGGAAGAGTTGACCCCTTGGAAGCAACTTTAGTTAAGCAAGCGGGCTTTTAAGCTAAACATCCTAGTAGCACTAAAATAGTTTGTGGTTGATTGCATATCGTGAAATTTTTCACCTTGAAAGGGTATTACTTTTGCGATTAGCAGAGCATTCCGTTAGGTGTCAACTTAGGTATCAACTTTAAATAGAACAGTGCCAGCATTCCCGATTTATATTTCTAGATTTGAAACAAACTAACCCGGCATGTACGCAAATGTGTTTCTGTCAGTAGAATTGTTCATAACAAGGGAAAACAAAGCTGAAGCTGAGAAACGGAAGTCAACATGCAGTTGACTTTGGTTATTATAAAAACTGACTCACATTACTGGCCCTATGCCAAGTTGAGGCACATCAGAAACCTAAAGCAAAGTTTCACGATAATGTTTTTTCGACGCCTTACATCTAAATATTACAAAATGATACTCCACTAACTAGATGTTTCCATGGGGGCGATTGAACTGGGTGAAAAAGGTTTCTATTACATTGTTTCTTATTGTTGTTAAATTCATCTATCCAATGTAGTCCGTTTATCCAAGCTTTGGCAGTTTTGCATATATTGTGTCGTCAGTTTGGCCTTCAAAGATCGGCATGAAATTCTCGTATTCGGGGAGCGATTTTATGCACTGATAGCTGTATGGTAGTTGGATGTACGCCTTCATGACTACAAAAAGAATTGCGGCGTCGTTTATTCTTCCACCTTGGATCGGAAACTAAGAGTATATCTTCTGAGAATATACATGAAAACCAGATGTCACATTTCGAATACAGATATAGAATGGCTCACTTTTGTCTTAGCTCCCGATCAAAACTCGTTTTTGCATGGATTGTACCGTCTTCAGAATTGATCCGGAAAAATTCTGTGTCTGTGTTGTCCAGAAAGTACTCAATTTTTGCATTTTGCCCACTGTCTTGATCAGAGGCCACCACTTTACTGATAACTGTGTCAGATGGTCGGTTTTCTTCTATAGAAAACTGAAATAAAAACAACATTGAATAAAGAATTAGTGGTTTACTTTTATGGTTATTAATACGGATAACCTTAGATATCGAGTCCACATGAAATCCCAGACGATTACACTGGGCAAATAAATGACCTATTCTAGACAAGAGGATAAAATCTCCAACAATTGACGACCCAGATTTGAACTGAACAAATATAATTTGTTGCTTTAGGAGCAAAGAGATAAAACTATGAATTAAGTTACACTGCCCTACCTTAGAATTCACCAGAGTGGTTTCAACCAACGCTTGCTGTTTTACTCCGTCACTTCATTTCATCAGTTTTAACGTTCACCGGGATAACTGCAGTCAATCAATCGAATTATCGGACCCTCATGAAAATGAACATAACTGAAGTTTAATCTTATCCTGCACTTTGTATTTGTGTGACTGTTGTTCCATTTTTAATTAATTAGTGGATCCACAGCCACGTGGCCACCTGATACGTGTTGTGAAGCTGTTACAGTTTGCGCAACGCGGTTGCGACCACCTGAGATACTTTCACAACTGAGGGTCTTCCTTCAACTAAGAACCATCAGTTCCGGAAGAGAAGTAGCTAAGTCCAGAATTGCTGTGTTCACTGTGAACCCATGGACATACAAGCGAAGCGGTAGTACGGTCAAAAATCGTTTACACAATGTTTAGCGTACGCTACACCCCCATCACTGTGCGCAGGGACGAATTCGACTAAAACAGTAGATAGCAGTTCTTATGTTGCCTATAACGTAAATGATGTAAACTAAGGCGAGTTGTTCCTGGTGCCAGTTAGACTGAGTTAGGTGAAGAATGGTTCGTGCTTTTTCGTAGCTTCAGCAAGCTAATTTAGGACTTACAATGAGTAACAGAGAGAATGCGACCGAGTTCAACAGACAGGAAGCGGCATTAATGGAAAACTTGAAAATCTCTCGAGATATTTCCTGAAAAGAGTTAGGAAAACCAGAAAGATGCTTTGAAAAGAAGACTGATGAGTGCATGAGTTGCGTAAAATGTTCCAAATCTTGAGGCATATGTTAGGTAGCCCCATAAATTTATGAGCCAGCCATTCATAGAAATGCGCAGTAGTGCAGTCTACTTGCACCAGAAGCTGAAACGCGCAAGACCTGTTTATTTCTAGCCTAAAGCTAAAAGTGATTCACCACCCTACGGTGTTCTCTGATACCATTTTGTCAATACACAGATCATCTGGCAACTCAGGGTGTTGAGTAGATGACATGGCTACAGGGAAGAACACTGAATATTCACCATACTTATTTCATGGTTCGTAGTTGCAATGTGGGCTTGATCATAGGATGTGACATTGCGTAGCTCGCAAACTGCCAAAATTGTACCAGAGTACCTGTTGGAAATATCGGCTTATAACCGAGGTGTAAAAGTAAGAGTGCTTGAAGAGCCCATGCAAGGTAAGGTACCAGACAATCGTTCACGTAATCAAGCAGTCGAAAAAAGTCACAAGTTACTGACGACTTTCTTGTCAACTTTTTGACAAATTAGATCAAAATTAGGTAAGCAAAATTGAGGGAAAGAGTTTATTTTGCAATGAGGTAGTCTGGTTCCGGCCATGTAGCTTNCTGGTTCCGGCATGTAGCTTCCCAAACTCTCCTACTCTTGTATGTTCCTCGATTTCTTGTGCATCTAATCAAAGATTCTACGTATTCAGGGGACACATCTTTGTTTAACTTATTTCATTTTTGAAGATGCTAAGTAGGAATGGGTTAAGAACGTGTCGAAGCGAAGTTTGGCGGTACCAGCATATATATATTTCCGGTTTTCGGATGTCGTTAATTTGGTATGAAATTTTCATGTCTGTGGCCCAAGCTTTAAGTATCGTTCCGATATGTAGGTGATAATGGACAAACATCATTCATTTTTTCGCAGTTACGTTCTTGGGGCTAAAAACTACGATTGATTCCGCACGGAATACCCACATGGTGACTTTTTCATTAGACACAACCTTCAGAGTAAACATGGCGTGACTCCCTTAAGTAGACGAACGGTAATCTCGGTTGATTAGACATCTAGAGGTTTCTGCTGGAGAACCTTCCAGGCTGGAAAAATAAAAGAATATACTAACGTAGTGGAGGAAGAAAAATCTTCTGAATTGTGACAAAACTTTGAAAGAATGAACGAGAATCTCTGCGGTGACTGTTGGAAGAATCGCCATAAACCACAATGGTAATTACACTAATGATGTTTTTTCTCAGTAAGCGCATGTGTTCGTTTCTTTTTTCTGGGATTGTCGTGACTTTCTAGCTTTCAACATCAAAGAGCATTCGCTGTCCCAACTAAGCTGAATCATTCATAAAAAATAGGAGTTTTTGTCCTCAGATGGAAAACAATTGAACATAAACCAACCATATGAGTATATTTGTGTAAATCAGTGCCTATCAGAGACCCACATGACTGTCTTTCCACATAAGTTTGTTTGGTCAGTAGATAAATCGCAAAAGCGTGTGAGTAGCGCAATAAAACTTGGATCACTTGATTAAATTTAACAACTAGACGATGCTTTTAAATGTTTATACGGAGTAAAGTAAGTTGCTGAACAACAAACTAGATTCTTAGCTGTGACTTTATGAGAGATTCTCGTGCCGCCTGGAAAACTAACTCCATGTACCAAAAAAGGACTGTTCAGTAATCTCTCCCGTGTGCTTGATAAGTATGTTTGTAATTTTAAACATATGATACACACCAGGAGGAAGTCCTCATGAAGTTAGTGACCACTTGGAAATCATGCTATTTACAGATGTCCCCCCAACAGCCATCCGTCTGTTTTCTTTATCACATTGAGATGTGAAAATTCAGGTGCGTCTGGCGTGTGTTGGTGGAGTGGTAGTAACATGCTCACCTTCTGTGCCAAATGTTTGGATTTAAAACCCCGTCGTGTCCCAGGATGTGTGCTAATAAGAGCGAAAATCGTGCACCGTGCTTCCACTTTTGATATGGACTCACCTCTATCATTGCACCAGGTCAGGAGGAGGATTGTTCAGACAAGAGTGGTGTTAAAGTGGATGAAACGTCTGTATACGGCTTTTCATTATAGATTGATTTTGAATGCATGGCTTCATAGCCTCTTATCTCCAGCCCAGCAACCAATACCAAATGAAGTGGAGAGAAATCAGCGTGATTGTGTCCACTCTGCACAGTGCAGAAAGCCAAATCATCCTGCGGCAAAGAATAACCACTGGTCGCGCTGAAGCGAATAATCAAACTATTTGGTCTGCTTTTGCTTGTTCAATTTACCCTTAAACGTCCAGCGCAACCGACCTAAATGGAGCGGCCATGGTTCTAACGACAAACCTAATACAAATTCATTCAAAAAAGATCACTTTAAAGGGACCAATTTATTTTTACAGAGATTACTTTGCCGAACAGTTAAGTTTTCGAGACGCTAGTCAGCGAGTTCGAAATTCCTTTGAGCTTCGAGTGATGCCTACTGCTGATGGTTCCCGAGTAGGATGAAAAAGCTGCACAGTACTTCTCAGGTTTTACCATATGTTCGCTTAACTTGCAGAGCGGAAGCTCCATAAAAATAGGTCATTTTCTCTCCCCATCAGTCAGTCACCCAGAAAGTCAGTCATAAATGAGACCACAACAAGTTCACTAGAACCCTCGAGGTTAAACAAACGATGGCTCCCATAGGTCACATAGGGAAATGGAGCTGCGTGCTTTCACCTCGTTGTGATTAGGTGCATTCTTGAGTTTTTTGAGTCATTTCACTACCTGTACGAGCCAATTGTGGAGAAGTAAAAGTGTTCAGCCCGATTAAAAAATCAGTACTGGTCCACCTCAGTTCACATGTTCACTAGAAAGACAGGAAATTCGAACTTATGAGTAAGAAGTTTTGAAATGTTGGCGACGAGAATATGACGGAAAATTTAGGGTGGACGCGTAGTCTGAACGAAATATAATCGTATCACCTGTAAGGGCCAAAAATCACTCGCTTCGATCTTTTGACCTGTCTTGAGTCTCGAAAACCAAGAATGCAATAGATAAAACCTGTCTTTGTTGTTATGCGTAAGGCGCTGTAATTTTATTGTGAAATCTGGAAACGAACTGCACAAATTTTACCCTGGTTGCTTCATATGTGTCACATTTGTTATTGGCTAATAAAATGAATATAATGTACAGTGGGCACACAAGTTAATGGTGGAAGACCAATTTGGATATGTTTTAGAAGACTAGTAGGTAGTATGTTTTTGTTATATCTGGAATGTGAAAGATATTCATTTGCTTGCATTAACAACCCGAAAGCACTGACTTGATGGCGGCTGAGGTCATTCTTTGCTACAAAGTGAACAGGGAAGTTTACGTGATCAGAACGAACGATTTTAAACCGTAAGTGAATTCAGGAAAATGTGACAGGTAAGTTTTACAGTTTTCCGGTCTTGTGACCATATTCCAGGTGTGATTCTAAAACATCCAGGCCTACATTCTACCGGGCGCCATATGTTTATCTAAATGTCTGCCATATGTGCACCAAAATGGTACAAGTCTACTATGCTATTCATTGCGTGAAATCAGGCGGGTAGCTACATCATTCGCGACATCTGGGTGAAATGTGTAAGAAAAGCATACAGTTGGATGCTGATTTCTGGCTCGGATGAAACTACTCCTTTTCTTCTGGTTGCCATAGATGGCGCCTCAGTGTTGCTGGAGAGGGATTATTGCCAATTTCGTAATAAGAAACGAACACAAACGATGCCTGAACTAGCTTCAGTGAATAAAACGGAGTAGATTTAACAAAATAGTGCATAAACCAAACAAAGTGGGGAATGGCATATCACGCGTCAGATAATATGCTCCACCCATCCAAAACAAGTCGGGTGCCAACAGATTTGCCTCCACCATCTGAGAGGATCTACTGTGCTTTTGTGGCGCCCGTGATTCTCACTGAAGTTAGATGCTGATATGGTGCGTGTATCATGACTTCTCACATGTCTGCCCGAAGTCAGCAGCAAATCTGGCTGTTTGGCTGTCGTCCCGCGAGTCTGCGGACGACATGGCTTAACACATTGAACTGCTGAGTGTGAGTAGTATTTATGCTCAAATCAATTTTTCAGAACCAAACAAAATTACCGGTGTGACGATAGGATGACACGCCTGCGTGATCTTAGTTTGATGCAGCTGTAATGGGAACCCAAGTCTGACGGGAATGGATATCGTCATGTTCAAATGTTATGTTTTTCTTATTTAGGTCTGTAAATGGAGCGTCTTAAATCTCACTCCGGACTATGATGTACAGTGCTAGAAGTGACTCTTCGTGACTTCCACTGAACAGTAAAACCTGGTGAACACATTCTCACGGCATACTCATGTGCATTAGGCGCGCTGTTTAAGCGGTGTGGAATACTGGGACATTACACACATACTGTGGGTTATTTCTTCAGGATTTGAGAGCTGGAGCCCTTAGGTGCGCAGACTGATACCGTAAGAACTGACCTCCACTTCTCACGCTGCTGTGTTCGTCCCGCCAGTTTACGCCGAGTAAAGGGAGTTCAAACGGTTATACATGCAATTAAAGTGTTGCTAGTTGTTCGTCGTGGAGGTCTGTCGGTGTATTTCAATGTTATATACAGACACTGAATTAGCTACTCTATGCATGCCAAAGCACTTATAGGCATTCTCCGCCTCCTGTATAGGAAACAAATACATCATTAGTCTACGTTAAGCAGCCATGCTACGGTCGTTCGACAGCAGTCTTGTGTTTACTTTTAACACTTAGGACTATTCACATTCAAGTGTGGTTATCCTCAATCCTGAATGTGTAGTGTATTGCTAGAGGGGTGCTCATCTTCTGAATGTGTCAGTGATAGGTCAGATGTCTTACATGATCTCCAAAGTGTTAGATGAGATGTGAGAATGGCTGATCCGAGTGATATGCTTCACCGAAGTAAAGCTCGACGAATTCTTTATGTAAATGTGACCATTTTCACTTGAAGAAATTCTCAGAAAACTATTTTGAAAAAAATATGAGCAAGTCTAACACGTCTAAGGTGTGCCCAAACGGGATCGTTTGCAACTTGCAGTCTCACTGTGAATCGAAAAGAGTAAGCTGCTATCTGGATTTAAGAAATATTATCCTACACAATCTTTTGACATTAGATTTTGTGACTAGTGATACCCTCTAACCTATAAGTAGTTTCTCTTTTCCTGTATTAGGTTAGACGATGCAAATGAACTACGTTCGACTTCATCATTCCAAAAAGTGTGGCTGTTAACTGCATTCATTCGGAAACTCGGTGCATCGGCGGTTTGTGCAGGTACTGTAGATTGTCGCCAAGGTGTGCTGTAACCCTAACTGAAGTAGAAAGGGACTGACGAAGTTCGGACGGAAGTTAGGGCAACTGCGTCATTTCTGAGCGCCAGTAAGATGTAAAAACGTTTCGATAAATACGGTGCATGTTTTTTCTACCCCGTTGAATTCTTAATTTTCTGTTTCACCCATAAGCTGTCTTACATTCTACATCATACCACCATTCTCCATTTCAATCGGTCACCACGTTGGTTAGACGAATACTCAAACCTCATCTCAAAACTGTTTGGGTGCGTGAATTAAGCCCAGAAATATTGGTCGAACGTATGACTAAAATCAACCAAACCCACCTGTGTACATTTGAATACGTCAAAGCCTGCTCTCCATTCAAAGATGGAACAACTTACTTGGTAAACTGGCTGCATGAATTGGGGAGCGTTATCATTGATGTCTTCAACATGAACATTGATGGTGAAGCTCGAACTAAGACTGGGCTCGCCAAAATCCGTACACACAATCTGTCAAAATTAAAAGGGAATGAAAAAAGACGTTACAGCTGTGGACAAAGCAAAGCAAATTAACAAAAAGCTGGTTAAGGGTTTAGCGGTCTGAAATATTAATTATAGTCTCTGCAGCCAACCGGTTCAAAAACATGGAACTGAGAGAAACAAACTAAGTACGTTTAACTGGCGAGTGAGTGCGTACCGAACCTTCTACCTTGACCAGATTGTGGCCCAGATGTGCGTCAAATGTGCCGAATCGAGACCAAATTGATTAATGTACAGTAGATTCTGGGGTAACCTCAACCTCCAAGCTTGTACTAACAGCACCGAAACTGCTTTTGGGTAATTATTCTTAAGAAGACTTCTCCATTAGAAAAATGAGCGGAAAACTAAACTCTCTCCCCATTTCGAAGTAATTAGGCGTTCTACGGCTTTACGAATTTGAAGCAGCTTTTGAATCTTGGATGAAATTTTTAGATCCGCTTAAGCTGACTAGTTTAGCTTATCTGTATGCTTGTAAGTATATAGATCTGTCGTCCTAGATTACTGCAAGAGCATTTATGATGCCGGTCAGCTTATGTCATCTGAGTAACGACGAATGCGTAATTTTTTGCATTACCAGAACATTAAGACAGGGTCATTCATTGAGAAACATTCAGAAGTAACAACAATGACAAGTTTAGTGTACATTGAGTTTCATAAGTTATGGGATCCATCCAATGGTTCAGATTGATCGGTTTTAATCCGTAATCCAGCTGTGACCTGTTCCTATAGACATTACTGTACAGTTAGTTACCTTAGGTCAAATTTATGGTCCAAGCAACAAGAGCCCACTGATCTGTCCTAATAATGTAACATGCAACATGTAACACATATAATCAGCGTTTCATGGGACAACCGATGAACTAATACGAGTCCCTACTGTGGGCCCATGAGGAAGGGGTTAAATTACCTATTTCGGAAACGCAAACTATTTCCCTCTTGTGTCTGGGCCGTGCACCTTGGAGGGTGGGACTAAAATGGAAGAGCAAATATTTTCTCTCGGGTGGATTTGCATTTCCGAAGAGTTTTGTAGTGACCGGCCTCCACTTACTATTAAGTTCTATCAAAGCATTTTATTATTTCTGTTCCATATTAGTTCAAATCTGTTTCAGATTAATTTAAACTTAGCTAATCAAAACAAAATACATGACAACACAAAGGAAACTTACCACGACCTGTTCGAGCACATTCCTCTCGTGGTCAAATCCCCCTACTGTTTTTAGTTCAAACTGTGTTCTCGAAATTGGATTGAAATGAAACTGTCCGGAAATTGTAGCCATATGGATTTGGTTCGTGCCGGATGACGACTGAAAGGAAGACTTTGAATTCTGTGCCTGATAATTGGTCATCGAGTGACCGTCAGGTTTTTTGTCCTGTTTCAGACCACATTGCACTTGTCCACCGCTTCCAGTATCCGGATCATTGACAGCAACAAAAGCTAACAGAGATGATGCTTGGCCTTGGCTACTGCTGAAATGATCATTTGATGAAAGCAGCAATGGCTCGTTTTCGACCGCAACCCATCCGGAAACTTCTTGGATGTGCAGGTCAAGTGTGTTTTCGGCAGACTTCTTTTGATCTCTCGTTCCTCTAACACTCATATCCAAAACCGGTTCGACTGTAATAAAAGGTGCGACATCATTTACATCTGTGACCATCAGGTTCACCACAGACTCGTCGAAACCCGGATGACCGGCCTCATCGCGTGCCAATACCCGAATCAAGTGATGCTTGGAACGTTCATAATCCAGTTTACCATTCAGAATCAACCAACCACTGAGGGGTTCGATTAGAAATGGTCCAGAAGAGTTTTGTACTGTTCGGCTGGTTTCGTAAGCGTTTGGCTGCTTTTTAAAGTTACCGGAATAGCTGCTTTCTTGAACGCTATCAGCTAGGCTGTAAATAACTTTTCCGGCTCTGCCTTCATCTGGGTCATAGGCAACCAATTGGATTACACGTCTACCCTCAGCTGCATTCTCTGGGATCGAGATTGTGTATGTCTTGTTTTGAAATACCGGGTGATTGTCGTTCTCATCTGTTACGATAACCTAAAAAGTTTGAAGAAAAAGAAGTATTAATCGTCAGCTTACTTATTATGTACACAAAAGCTAATTTTATCGAGAGACCAAAAGTCTGGATGTGAATCGTACCGAAAAAGTTCTCAAGTTTCCCATGAAGACCTCTGACTTGTATGTTTCAGAGGCAAGAAGCAGCTGTTTAATCAGTGTTAAATATGATTAGCATTGTGCCAGCCATGCTTAGGGATAAAATTGTACGTTCAGTCTCGCAATAATGACTGTCTCCTTGAGTAGCGATTTTCCATGTATAAGGCCACTGCTTGGGCTCCAGTCTGATACAATATAGACGAAGCGAACTAGTCATGAGAGTGGACTCAGTTTATCATTCACCTAGGACCGTCATACGGGTACCAAAAAGGTTAACACCCGTTAATTTGTATATACTAAACAACGGGTTTATCTAACGGAGAAGCCAGACACAGATATGACACCCTAATCGGCAGCAGCGTCGAAGCAGTTCAGAAGACAGTAAGTGGCGAGTCAATGGTTGAAATCTAACCATTGACGTATTCGTTCTGTTCACACCAATTTTACTGTTAAAGGAAGATAGTGAAACTAACATTTTGGAACTAATGCAACGGACTGCATGTCATGTTCTCCCTCAGACTTTGTACGAAATGCGCATGTATTTGTCCTTCTGGATCCTTTCTTCCTACTGGGTGTGCATTTTCTCTCCAGAGATACGTCTAGTAAACAGCTATGCTGGATAGCAAAGCCTTAACTTCACTCACAGGCACTGAGAGGTAACTGAAAGTGTAAGCCGAAAAATAAGTAAGGTTATGTAGTCAACATTCCTTAAACGTAAAAAAATTGAACAACGGGTTCTCTAATCTGTCTCGCTAGCAAACATGGCCGATATTCATTTCGGATAAAGTGTTCCACGGTAACTGGACAACTTCATGCCGTACATATTTGGACATCCACAAATGATTTACGTGCAGCAAAAAGTGGTGTTGCGTGAAATTCCCCAGCACCATTGTAGCCATAGGGGGCTAACAGCAGTGGACGAACAAGCAAAGGTCCCGCAAGGCATCAGAAGTGATGGAATGCACAAGGACATCGCGTTTATTGACTTGAAATAATTCGTACTTCAAGCTGTACCTAGTTCATGCATAACAACCAATAAAGTATTTAGGACAAAGATCGTATATACCGGTCGAAGGATTACAGAACTAAGATCAAGTGTCTTCGTTCAAGTAAACATGGATAAAGTGGAGTCGTGGGTAGAAATTTTGAAGCTGTTTACGTCACAACCGTTTGACAGTAGTGGCCAGCGGTCCTTCGTCGGCAGAGCGTGGAAGGCTCGATGAACATACGAACTTCCTACGGATTCACAGATTCGGGTTGAATGAACGAACATTGAACAGATCCTCTTAGATAGATTGACTCTCGGTACAGTTTTCTCAAGATGGCGTCAGAATTAATCATGTGACTTACACTAGCCAAGCGAACGACCGCCGCGGTAATAATAGACCTCCCTGATGTGGCTGTTAGTCAGAATGTGTTATGCTCCTGCATAACTGCCGTTTAGTATGCTCTATGTACTCTGTTGTGCAACAGCAGATGAAGGATAAGACTACTGTTGTTTCAGAATGCACCGGCGGATTGAATTTGAGATATGTAGGCAGCAGATGAGTAGATATTAGACACACTTTAAGTGAATCGTCCGCGAATGTTTTCCAAAATGTGTGATGTAGGCACGGATATATTCGTATGTTCTTTGAAAAGAAGACTGATGCGGATGGCTTCACTTTGGCTGTGACTGGTTTGGCTTCCTCAATTACAGCAGCCATTTGTCTTCAGATGAATCGATCCGGATAATCACTGTCCTGAAGCACGCTAGCTAGCGACTGAAGTCTGGCTTTCCGAACAAATTTTTGATGCCTTGTCAGACAGACTAACTTCAGTTTATGTTTTAGTGGGACGAATCTGCTGAACTTAGTTTATTGTTTCATCCAAGTCTGTTTCCAGTAAGGCAAACGTTTATTTGAGCCATTAGTGGCTTTCAACTGGTGTAAGTTCAGGAAATGGAAGGAACCGTTGTTTTCCTCTTTGGATGTAAACTGAAATCCGTTCACACCACCGACAGATATAAGAACTTGGCTGTGATGGATAATATATCGTCTACATAGTGTCGGTAGAAGTACAACATTCTACACTTAAGCAGGATTGGTTTTCAAGGTGTCTCTTAAAGATACTAGCTTGGATTGAGCCGAATGGAGAACAAACTGCGATACCAGCTCTTTTGTAGTCTTTCACTGAAGCAAAATCGTGCATCGAAGTGCCTCGCAATGATGATTCCTCTTGATCATTGGTAAGGACATTTAGGTGGATAATGTTTGTTTAGCTTAAGGGATAACACAGTGTTTTGTCAGTGAAACATAAAAGGTTCTACTAAAACATATGTCTGGGCTGGTCGGGTGGTAAAAATTGTGGACTTTCATTTCAACGACCTGAATTCGAAACACGTATGAGGACTTTTAATTTGTTTGGCAGCTTCCTGATACTTTGCAAGAATGTTGTTTCAGAGTTAGAAACGTGAAAATTCTTCTAGCTTTATAAATTTGGTCAAACCGGGTTTAGGATAAAATGCAGGTTTGCGATCAGTGCAGATGAAATCTTCTTGAGGTTTTTGCTGACAACTACTGGAAATCACTAATGGTCGTTCGTACATTCCGTTAAGTATTGCGTCCTTTGAAAGGAAATATCACATTCTTAAAAAATGAGACATGACGTTTTGAAATTCCATACCTGTAAATTACTTTTCACTTATCGGATTCATCATCGCAGTTAGCACGTTTATTAACGTTTATTGAAAAGATGATGGGAAAGAATGTGAGAATCCTGATACCTAAACTCTGGAAAGTTCTCGAGGAAGGCATCATGAATACAGGAATCAACTGACGTCTTGACGTAAGAACAAAAGTGGTCGTGTCTACTTCCGTCATAAGCACATTCCTACTAGCTAAGTTTCTGATTCTCCCCGACCGCAGGATGATAATTATTAGACTATACTTTTTCAGATGTCAGTGCGTGAGCGTTAGAAGTGTAATATCATGTTCAGCTGCTCCCGTTTAAGCTTGTGATTCTCAACTCCACCTGGTCAGATAACGGCGTGTCCGAAAGGTGTTCCACAGGCGGACGGTGTGGTTTCACATCCCATTATTAATTTCACATTGTTTGTCCTAACACGTGGAGGATTGTGGTCAGCACAAGTTACCATATAATATCCAGGCACATTCTCGGGCTTGCTTCGCCAAACCGCACAACAGTTCTGCGACATTCGTTCGAACCAAAAGAGCTGAACATAGTTCTTTGTTTCGTTCTATCATACACGGATACGCGTGCCGTACTCCTTCTGCTATTTATCCCCACAAGCATGCACACAAAATGTCGCTCACTAAGGACCTGCTCTTCCACTTTAAATGCCGAAAGTGCGTAAAATTTAGCTGTACGCTCTGCTATAAACATTTGGGATGTATGAAGTTTTTACGTGTGCACTAACTGATATAAACCAAGAACATCGCGAAACTGTCCGTTTTCGGGGACGAAACACTGAATACTCACAGTCAAATGGTGAAAAGCCTTTGGGAACTGAGTATTCAAGAGACGGCTTGATTTATGATATACATATCTGCATATAGTCTGCCTACCACATGGACCGCTTCTCTAATGGATGATAAAAGTTCATCAGCCGGGCAAGCACTGTGTTGACAACAGCGCATGAAAAAATCATACATTGGTAGCTGGTGCTACTTTTTATGACACTCGAATCATTCGAAAGTTACGATCTATCCGATGCAGAATGAAATGAAAAATAACCGAGGAATAAGCCCCGGATACCTATGCTTCTATGAAATACAAGTTAGAATAGGGACCGTATTCCACAATCAATTAATGCGAGTACCAGGGCGGGCAGGAACGAACAGATATGGAGTGGATCTTGGTTGTTAGTATTTTTATAACCAGGGCGGAGGGTAAACGTCCTGTGCGGTTGTTTTCTGGCCTGCTTGGTTTCGAATGTTTTTCCTTGTAAAGCTGACTACTGAATAAGGATGGACCCACAGCATAGTGCGCAGCTAAAGTATTCCCCTGTGTACCTGTGTGGCGTTCTTACGACTCTACTAGTTTTGAAACCAATCATTCTATCAAAAACCATCGGGTGGTGTGATACAATGAGATCTTGGTGAAGCTAGGTCTCATGCCTTGCGTGTACTGCGTCTGGAAGCCAAGATTACCTTGGGTTATGTGCAACGCGCCAAAATTAATCTCACAAATGCATGCTGATCAACAATACAGCGAAAAAGACCCTGACAGATTCTACTCTTTTCAACGTAATTAACATTTAAAATAAAATGATAATTGTTCGGCTGTGGCAGCCTTTGTCTGTTCCCATTTTGGCCAACCGAAAATATCAGTTTTACGGATGTAAAAAGCAGTAGCCTGGAAGTTGACAAAAAGTGCGGTGAACTTTTGGTACATTTGATTTTCCCATAAGCTCTTGGCAGCAGATCTCCGTGTTGGCAATAATCACAGTCACCGTAGTCCATACACCCTTCCTCCCAGAGTTGTGTTGAGGCAGAGTTGAAATGTGGTGTTTTACGCTGTCTTTGAATTGTTATCTGCGGACGAAGCACTGTCATCTAATCAAGTGAGTAGATCACCTCCAATAATGGATACTTTTCCGTTACATGTGTTGGGAATGTTCACAGCCAACCGGTGAGTAGTTAACCGTAGAAAGTTGGACAGGCTAAATCTAAAATCATGAGACGCACTCTTGAGCTGAGCAACTAAGTTAAGATGGTTATCAGCCTTATGCCCAAGGAGTGACCACCGTGTTCATACTCATTAAAGCGGCCTTGGCGTTGTCTCTAATAAGCAACTTAACTTCATTTCACCCAGAGTTTACACTTGAAGGTTGATGCTTTATTTTATACGGCACGAACAATTTTGGACGTTACATTGCGTGA